AGGACAAACCGCGTCGAGTCGTCGTCGTCCGCGGCGGCGAAGACCGCCTCGAGGAAGCGCTGGACCGGCGGGAGCCCCCCCGCGGGCTTCTCCGTCCTCGACAGGAGGGTCACCGCGGCGCCGATGGCGTCGTTGAGGCCGGCGGCCCCCGGGCTGCCGTGGAAGGTCGCCTCAGTGATCAGCGCCGTGGCGAGGAAGGCCCGCATGTAGGCCCCGGGCCGAACCACCTCGGCGCCCTCGAGGATCGGGCCGGACGCCCCACCGTCGGCCTCGCCGTCCGCGTCGAGCATGGGCTCCGCGGTCAGCTTGGCCTCCAGCTCGCAGAGCAGAAGTTTAAGCGCCGCGAACTCCTGCGCGCGGGTCGCCTCCAACTGCACGTTTTCCTCCTCCTTTTCGAGAAGGAGCTCCTGCATCGCTACGGCGCGAGCGCAATCGTGAATCGCGTGGACTAAATCCGTCAGCGGCAGGTTCAAGCACCCCGCGGAACTCAACACCGACGGCAGGTTATGCGCCTCATCCACAATTAAAACGGTCCCTTGCGCATCAAAAGGAAGCTGCTTTCGCAAAACCGGATCCAAAATGTAGTTGTACGGCATAAACACGATATCCGCCTCCTTGGCCTCATCCCGCTCAAGATAATAAGGACAAAACACACTCTTTCGCCCCTCAACCACCAGATCCTCCATATCGTACACGGCGTCCTCGGCTGACAAAAATGTTTCATAATTTTTTGCATGCAATCCCCGGAAAAAGCGGCAGGCCTTATTTCCCCGAAGATGATTGCACATGCTTTGCTGCGCCTGCGCCGAGGGCAGACGATTTACCTCGGAGTGAATGCACATATGCTCGCGTGAGCCTAACAATGCCATGCGAATCTCGCGCGAATAGCGCGTGCGCCTGAGCTCCCGCACCACCTGCGCGAGCTGTGCGTGCGTTCGACTGCAATAAACGATTTTATGCCGTGCGATGTCTTTGGGGAAAGCGCCATTCGGCGGAAATTGGGCCCGATTTCGCATGGAACTCAGGAATTTGTTCTGCGCCTTCTTACGGCGAAGCAACCAGGCAAGAGAGGCACACAGCAAGCAGAGGGTTTTACCCGTACCGGTAGGGGATTCCAGCAGGGCGTTGGATCCCGCTTGAAGCGCTTTCACCACGCTCCGCATGTACTCCAACTGGGAGGGGTAGGCCTCGAAAGGAAATTCAATTTCCAAATCTTCAATTTGGATTGTTGTCATCGTTTTTCACTTGTGGTGTTGCCCTTTTATCCATTCTATGACGTCACCTTTGGGTGCATCTAAGGAAGTAATTTATGTACGATGTGGTAGCGCCCTTGACTCTTGAATGTGGGAATCGATGTAGCAATTAGTCTCTTCGCCTCTTGGTTAGTCTATTTTATTTATATGCATTCAATAAAGATAATTTGGAGGCAAGAAAAGGGAAGGTACATCACTAAACGACAATGAAAAAGCATCCTTTTATGAAATGTTTGTTGGAGCGTAGTTGTTAGGAATCAAAGTTGTTGATTTTCTGTAAATCATAATTAAAAACTGCAATTGAATAAGTCTAGTCTATGAATGGAACAGCAAGCAATAGAAAGGAAGCTGAATAACCATAACACCCAAAGAATACATTCTCTGTTCAATCTGCTAATAGAAAGGAAATAAACATAAAGGCTAATAAATGGAGCATCATGGGAGGGGGAGGGGGGAGGAGAAAGAGAAAAAAAGAGAAATTTCTCTAATATCTTCAAAATTTATACAGCAAAAATTGTGACAAGATTTTTTATTACTCTATTTCCCCTTTCCGCATGCATGTTTCCTTATTTCCGCGTCTTTCGTCGCGGCCCTAAAATGTTTTCAACCTCAAAAAAATCCGAATCGCGCTCTCGCTTCCGATCCTGATCCTCCTTTTTGGTTTTAGTCAAGCCAAGGGTGGACGAGTTCACCTGCGGAGGCGCGCTATCCTCCACCCCTTCCGCGTAGCCTCGCTCCACTAGATCGTTCAAAATCACTTCTCGGCTGGCTTTGCGCTCCGCGAGCCGCTCTTGCAGACTCCCTTCCTGCTCTGCCGATCCCGCGGGCTCGGGAAAAAAGCCGAGCTGTTGGAGCTTGTCGAGCCAGCCCTTCAAACGCGCCCGCTCCCCCCCTTCCTTCGGCATCGCCTGCACCGCCTCTCGCGCGCAGTGCAGGAGAAAAGGTTGATTATCCTTACTGTAGAAATACATATGCAGTTCGAGCGCGTCGACGCAGACCTGGCGGCTCGCCTTCTTCGAGTTCACCGCGAGCTCGATCAACAGCTCCTCGGCGATCGCCTCGTGGAGGGAGAAACGACTGAGCTCGCGGAGAAGGCGCCCGCTTTGCATCGAGGACCGCGCCGCCTTCGTGCGGATCGATGAATTCCGCGCGTGAAGGGTGGCGCCTTCGTTCGCATCCGGATTCTTACCCCGCCCGGCACTTTTCTCCGACAGGTTGTCGTCGTTCGCGTTAGCTTCGGACAACTCCTTATTCACGCGTTGGGCGGTTTTGGGATCGATATCGCGAATTTGGCATAGCGTAAACGGATCCGACAGTCTCAGCACGAACTGAATGATCTTTACGGCCCAAGATGGATCCCGCATCAGCAGCACGCGAAACGCGGCAACGCCGCCCTTTGAGAACCGCTCTTGCTGCTTGGGATGGCTGGAGGAGTAGCTTCGAAGGAATTTACTTAAGTAATCCACCATAAACGCGCTCGTGGCGTCGCTGTTTTGCGTGATTCGAACACGCACGTAGTGCAAAATCAGCTCGGCTATAATGCCGGTTATGGAATCCTGCGGGATGCGGTTGCAGCTTAGCAACTTGCAGAAGCCCACCAACGTCATGGTATTTTTAGCTTTCTGGGATGGACCAAGATAATAACGAAGCGTTGAAAGGAGATTCGCGCCGCCGACTTTGTGGACATCCTCCTCGGCAAGCGCCTGCTCGTGCTGGAGCCGCATGTCAATCGCGTTTTGGGCGTTAAAGAAGGTACCAGGGTTGAGATGCGCGGGTCGCTTGGTGGTGTCAAAAAAACGAAGTCCGTATTCCATAATGAGATCAAAAGTCACCCCAATGGCCGCCAACGGCACCGCGTTAAACTCGTTTCGTACCGGTTCGCTCGTTTCGGAAAGAATAAGCGGCATGAAGGTGTGCACGGCATCAGGGCTGATAAGACATTGAAGCGCCAAGGCTTTCGTTGCCGCTATGCGCACCACCTCATTATCGAGCTGCCGACCGAGTCGAATCATGTGCGAGCAAAAAATCGGAATCTCATCCCCGCGCTGTGAATAGGACAAAAAAGCCAAGACCATGAGCTGCATGCGAAGCAGAAATTTTTCATCCCGATCGATCGCCTCGTGAAGTTGGTCGTACTCCTCCTGCGTAGCGGTTCCGGCGCGAAGCAGGGCCTTCATGCGAGCCAAATCCTGCTGACGCTCACGGCTTTTACGCCCCAACGCCTCCACGTCGTCAAACCCCAAGGCATACCGCTGTGGGAGCTTTAGACTTCTAAAAAGGGAATCTAACGCGGATGTGATCGTTTTCGCGCCCTCCTCAGGCGTGCGCGTTGTCAGAAATTTTAGCGCGCGCACCGCGGCGTCGACGAAGAGCCCCGGGTCATCATCCGGGACGACTTTTAAAATGAAGTTAATGATGCGCAGCATCGAAGTGCGCGTGTTGTTATCCGCGTGCGCGAGGTAGCCGCTTTCCTCGTAAATTTCAAAAACGGAAAGCAAGATCCGCAGCATGTTCTCGGCATCCTCGACGTTGCGGAAGCGGACGGTTTTAGGCGCCACCTCCGGACGCGCGTAGACGTAGACGGTGTCCTGCAGCACCGCGCTAAACTGCTCCAGGGAAAGCAGCAGGGAGGTTTCGTCCGCGACGTCGGAATCGGCCATTGCCTGGCAATCCATCTTCCACATAAGAAGCCCCGGGGTGTGGATGTCGTGGAGGTCGATCGCGAAGTGCCGCCCGGGGTCGAGCTTCTGGCAGTACTTGAGCAGCTCCGCGGCGATAGCCATCAAGGGGGTGAGGCTGGTCATGGTGTAGCCCGCCATAATCGGCTCGAGCAGCGCGGTGCAGTCCGCCTTGCAGTCCCGCTGCAGCCAGCAGTTCACCAGCGCCGCGCGGCAGGCGACGCGGGCGGAGGTGTTGCCGTCCCGCAGCCCCTCCGCGGCGCGCTCGTCCAGGCGGACGGCCTTCGCGGCCGCGTAGGCCGTGATGTAGCGCCAGGGGAAGCGCCCGAGGGCGTCCCAGGCCTCCGCGCGCACGCGCGCGACGACGTCGCGGGTGCCCCTCGCCATGCCGTGGAAGTAGCCCTCGAGGAACTCCTTCCGGGCTAGGACGCCGCGCAGGATCTGCCGCCGGACGTCCGCCGCGGGGTCGGCGCAGAGGCGGACGAGCAGCTGCCGCGTCACGTCGCAGTCGCGGCGGCCCGTCTGGAAGGCGGCGGCGGCGGCCACGGCGGCCTCGCGGACGGCCCCCAGCGGTCGTGCAGGCGCCGCTTGAGGGCC